CTGTTTTAAAAAATTAAAATAAATATTTAAAAATAAAAATAAAAATAAAAATAAAAACTAGTATTATCTTAAATTTATTAAAAGTATAATTAAATCTCTATTTTCTTAAAAAAAAATTTTTTAAACTTCTCAATTCTACATTTTTGTAAATTCTATCATTATATTATCATCCTCATCTCATCCCATGTTCTACTTTATCTTTACAATAATTAATATTCTTAAATAATTTATATTTTTATTTACAATTTTTTAATATATATTTGAGAAATTAATCAATTATAATCTATTATTTGAAAAACTAATCAATTTTAATCAATTATTTAAAAAACTAATCGATTATAATTAATTATTTGAAAAAATTATCGAATATAATTGATTATTTCAAAATTTAATCGATCATAATGAAATATGTGGTTATATATGATAGCGGTTCCACTGTAACCAGCTCTTAAAAGATAACATCTAATAGCGGTTAAACCTTAACCGCTATCTAAAATATATTTTAGATAGCGGTTAACGTGGAACCGCTTATTATATATTTTCAAATATAATCGATCATTTGAAAATTTAATCGATAATAATGAAAACTTACATTAACTATTTGTTTGAATATTATGTTTTTAAAATTGCTAATAGAAAAAACGTTTCAGAATTCAAAATGCTAAATACTTTTAAATATTAAAATTGACTTTATAAAAAATTAGGAAAAAAAATTAATCCAAAAGAGTTCAAAAATATATTATAATATTTTTAGTTTTAGTTTAATTATATTTTTCATTCTCAAAGTAGAAAAATATGTTGTAATTATTTTAATTTAATAAAATATAATTTAAATTTTTAATACTAAAATTAAAAGATTAAATAATAATAAATTTAATTCTTTAAATTTAGTATTTAGAAACTAAAATTATAGTTTCTCTGTTTTAAAAATAAAAATAAATATTTAAAAATAAAAATAAAAACTAGTATTATCTTAAATTTGTTAAAAGTATAATTAAATCTCTATTTTCTTATGCAATTTTAGAAATTTTTTAATGAAAATCCAATATATGAAAAAGTTAAAATTTTAAAAAGGCACAACCTTAATTTATATTAACTATTTTTAATATAAATTTAAATATATGTTGAATATAAATTTTAAAAAGGCACAACCTTAACTATGTTGAATATAAATTTAAATATATTTTTCATTTATTTAAATATGGTTTATTTTTAGTATTGATAAAATATATTAATTTTAAACTTTTAATCCTTTTTATTAATTATGTTAAAAATGAAAAATATTAATTAGTATACTTAAACTAAAAAATATTTTAACTAAAGATAAATATATTTTTATAAATAGTTTAATTAAATAATATATTTATTATCTAATGTATATTGATATAAATTTTTTTTGGTATATCAATTATGACAACAACCATGATTAAGTAATTAATAATAATAAAGCAATAAATTTAAAAATTAAATTAAAAATAAAGTATTATAAAATAAAATTGTAATAATTTGATTAAAATTGTAATTTTTTAATTAATTAAGTTAATGAGGAATTAAAATGTGATAATTTGATGTGTTTAATTTTTTTAATATAAATTTTTAAAATATAATTTAATTTCAATTGAAGAATAAATTAAAGAATATTTGTTATTAAATTTTTCTTAAACAATGTATTGAATAGTTAATATCACTCTAGTCTTAATTTATTACAATTTAAATTTTTAATAAATTTGATTTATTTTTAATAATATTTTTATTTTAGTAATTTAATATTAAAGTTAATCTTCATTTTGTTAATATTGAGACCAAAGTTTATTTTTAAAGTATATTTTAAAAATTAAATTATTTTTGAAAAATAAATTACTTTTAAAAAATAAATCGTAAAAAATATACTAAAACAATTAAAGTATATTTATAAAAAAAATAAATTTAAATATAATAAAAAAATAATAGTTATTAGCGAATCGATTTCAATTCGGTTGCTATTTTCCCATTAGCGATCGATTTTAATTCGGTCACTATTTTAATTTGTGATTCGATCGCTAAATCGGTTGCTAAATGATTTTTTATTTTAGTATGGAATAACCATCGATTTAGCGACCGAAATTTTGCGACGCAAACTATTGGTTGCTATTTCGATCGCTAAATAAAAAAGTGAAACCAAATCATATTTTGGTGGCTAAATCGGTCGCTAAATTGTGACTGAATTAACTCGATCGCTAAATCGGTCGCTAATTGCGACCGAATTAAAGTGGTCGCTAAATTGGTTGCTAATTGCGACTGAATTAAATCGATCGCTAAATCGGTCACTAATTACGACCAAAATTAAATCGATTAGCTAATTGCGACCGAAAAATTCGATTGCTAATTTCGGTGACTAAATGTGTTTTTTCTTGTAGTGGATGTGTTTAATTTTTTTAATATAAATTTTTAAAATATAATTTAATTTCAATTGAAATTTTCAATTGAAAAATAAATTAAAGAATATTTGTTATTAAACTTTTCTTAAACAATGTATTGAATAGTTAATGTCACTCTAGTCTTAATTTATTACAATTTAAATTTTTAATAAATTTGATTTATTTTTAATAATATTTTTATTTTAGTAATTTAAAATTAAAGTTAATCTTCATTTTGTTAATATTGAGACCAAAGTTTATTTTTAAAGTATATTTTAAAAAATAAATTATTTTTAAAAAATAAATTACTTTTAAAAAATAAATTGTAAAAAATATACTAAAACAATTAAAGTATATTTATAAAAAAATAAATTTAAATATAATAAAAAAATAATATTCATTGGCGACCGATTTCAATTCGGTCGCTATTTTCTCATTAGCGACCGATTTTAATTCGGTCACTATTTCAATTTGTGATTTAGTCGCTAAATCGGTCGCTAAATGATTTTTTTATTTTAGTATGGAATAGCCACCGATTTAGCGATCGAAATTTTGCGACGCAAACTATTGGTCGCTATTTCGGTCGCTAAATAAAAAAGTGAAACCAAATCATATTTTGGTGGCTAAATCGGTCGCTAATTGCGACCGAATTAAAGTGGTCACTAAATTGGTTGCTAATTGCGACCAAAATTAAATTGGTCGCTAATTGCGATCGAAAAAATTCGGTCGCTAATTTCGGTGACTAAATGTGTGTTTTTTTATAGTGATTCACCCCTCTAGATGTCATTTGTCTAACAATGTCTACGTATAGACACCCTAGGCCCATATGCAATTCAAAACCCCCCATAAAACAAAAATACTCTGAAATCAGGTGAGAAAAAACAATTTAACTATTATCTTACTAGTAAAATAATTTAACTATTATCCTACTAAATCATATCTAGTCTTAACTTACACAGATAAAGTTGTATCTTAAATCAAGTCCTAAGAAAAAAACAATTTTAACTTTTCTAAATATATTGCTTCCACAATAATAATAAAAAGTCTAATGAGTAAAATTGGATAATATTATTAATTATTTCCAATAAATATTAAACAATAAACACTTCCATGCCCGTTAATTTGGTAAGGACAGTTATTTTAATATACATTTTTACAATATTTCAAAACTAATAACCAAATATTAATATTCACTTTTCAAGAGGGAAATAATATAAAAAATTGAAGTCATAGTATTTATACATTCTCTGACATATCACAAATTTAATAAAATAAGAAATAAAATGAAGAAATCATATTTAGATATGAGATGACTTTTTAACGAATTTGTTTCATAAAACATTATTTAATCTCGTAATTATATTAAAATTTATTTATTTTTTGATAGATAAAAAATAACATATTTATTTTGATATATAAAAATAATAAATTATACCATTTCAATGTTAAAGTTAAATAGAAATATGTAGGTATATTCTAAAATAAATAAATATCTACATAAAAATTAATTACAAATTCTATCTAAAGGTAAATTAATAGATACAAGTAGGAAAAGTATTGAATTCGTAATGAGATGTGATTTAACAGGTATCAGGAAAAAAAATTATAAGAAACCAAAAGAGGATTTTTTTTTATCAATAGATACAAGTAGGAAAAGTATTGAACTCGTCATGAGACGTGATTTAACAAGTATCAGGAAAAAAAAATTATAAGAAACCAAAAGAGGATTTTTTATTAATAGATACAAGTAGGAAAAGTATTGAACTCGTCATGAGAAACAAGTATCAATAAAAAAAAATTATAAGAAACCAAAAGAGGATTTTTTATTTTATTTATTAATAACAAAAACACTTGATATTTATTGGAAATTAAAAAAAAAACTATTTAAACCTTTTACATACGTTAATTACATATTATATTTAAAATACTACTGAGTAAAATTAAATAAAATATTTTTAATCATTCATAACAAATATGAAATATATACACTTCCAAATCATTAATTTGACAAGATAAAATTTTTAATAGAGATTTGTTTAATATTTCAAAATAATTAATTAAATATTAATAATATTTTTTTTATCAATCAAGTTCTCAACGCGTTTAATATTTACATATTAGTTGATGTCCTCCATTTGTGTGGTGGCAGTTATGAATGTGTATAGCTGGACGTGTAAGTGGGATCAAGGCAATGACATCATTCCTATGCTAAGCTTTCTCTTTCGTTTACTCATTCAATCCTTTTTGGTAACACATATGTTCTATACTTTAAACTTCAAAAGTCAATAACTCGCAGATTCATGGAAAATTAACAATGATATATATTATATTATATTATATTGATGCAAAGAATCTCCCTCATTCTTTAACCCACTCTCTCTTTCTCTCTTCTCAAACATAATGATATATATTTTCGTTCCCTGACCCTCTAGAATTGCCCTTTAGCCTGGGTTTCACCTCTCAAACATGATTCTTTTGTCCTCAACATGCTTCTGAACATGTTGCTAGTGTTTTCATGATCATTGATCATAATAAGAAAAGAATTAATACCCAATATAGCATCTATCATTCCTTCATATAGATACTATATCACAATATTACAGTATGCATTCAAGAAATCATTGGGGAGGGTCCTTTGAGATGAGCAATAGCGGTGAAGAGGTGTATAACCATACCAATGAGTGGGATAAGGCAGCACTACTTGAGAGGTACCATCCTCAAAGCCAAGATTTGGATGAGACTCTTCAAAGCTGGGTTTTGGAAAGGGCCGAGAATAGAAAGAAGACCAAGTATGTGGATTTTGGATGCATAGTGATGAGTCACAAGGCATTGAAATGGATTTTTGGTTCCATTTTCTTGACTTTCCTTGTCATTGGTCTCCCCATCATCATCACCAAGTCTCTGCCCAAGCACCATTCTCCACCAACACCAGCAGATAATTACACCCTTGCCCTCCACAAAGCTCTCCTCTTCTTCAATGCTCAAAAATGTATGTTAACTCCATCTCATCATCTTCTTCTAATACATGTTACTAACTCTATATTCTTTAACATACTCCTTTAAACATTCATTTTTCTCTTATCAGTTTAAATTTCAATAATTACAAAATCTTAAGAGTCTCATGTTTTATTTAATGAACTTTTCTCTTATATAATAACTCAGTTCATATTTGATAATTTTTCTTTTCATATTTTTGGTTAACTGTGACATTGATATAAAATAACTGTTTATTCATATATAATTAATTTCAGTTACAAAATTTGACTGATAATGTTGAATGAAGTCTTCTATCTTAAATCATATTCTTTTTATTCACAGTATTCAAATTTAATAAGTTGTTTTACAAAAATCCAAATTAAGCTCTATTAAGAACAAGCAACAACAAATATATTTTTGTTCCTAGGTTTCTTGTTCTACTTTTTATCTTAATTCTATTTGGTTATGTGATTGTTATAAAGACAGAAAGAAAGACTTTAGAAATATATAAAATAATATGACACTATGAACATGTTTAGACAACATTTTCTGTAATTATTTTTATAAAAAAAGAGAGTTAAAAATAAAATAAAATAATTTATTTTAAAAATTAAAACAAATTTATACATAGTAAGTTCTCTAAAATAGTGTATTTAAATTCCAAATAAGTTTTATGTAAAAATAATACACCTTTTATATTGTGTTGTGTATATTTTATTTTTTCATAAGTGATGATAGAAGTATTTAGTGAACACATATTTATCTATATTTAAAATAAAGTCAATTTTTGTATGCATTCTAATCATACAATCATAAGCGTGCAGCTGAATGCGGTTGTCATATATAATAATTGAGAAAAATAATATTTTTCTATATATAAAATATGTGATAAAAAAAGTAATAACAATAGTATTTAAAATAAAATAAATATCAACATATAAAACCTACTTTCCTCAATATTTTTATATGATAAAAAAGGATAAACATAAACATAAACCCTTCTAGTTTAGTAATCAACTGAAGAAGTTTTATTTAACATTTCCCACCTAAGTCAACTTTTTCTAAGAACTGCAATTTCATTAAACTAAGTGTTGAAGTTAGTGTATGTTTAAAATTTTATATTTATTTTGAAGGTACAAATATTTTTGTTTTATAGATGTTTATTTTTATCTTATTTATTTAATAATTTATTTATTTCAAGGTGTGTTATTTATTTAGTATTTAAGTATAATTAATTTTGTTAAATAGATAATTGATTATGTAATAAAATCATATTTATAATTTTGAAATATCTAAATGTTCTAAATAATTAAGAATGATAGAACATAAACATTTATAATTTTATAAAAATAATTTTGACTTTTAAATTAATTTTGGATTTTACGTTTTTGTATTATGTAATTTTTATTTTTATAAAAATTATATATAAATGGAAGTGGTTTTCAGTTTTCTAAATTAAAAAATTTTAATTTATTATTAATATTTTAACAAATTACTAATACAAATTACTGCATTATTATATAGATAAATACCTATTAATGATATAAAGTTAATCATTTATAAAACCTAAATTATAGACTGGTGACATTATAAATAGTAAAAGTTAATTTATACTAAAAATATTTTCAATTGTATGAGCTTATATATAAAGTCATTGTATTATTTTGTCTTTTCATTACCTCTATTAGTTGCTTTTGATCTTTCTTTTTTCTATTAAAAGTGGTCCAAGGTTTAGTTTTTTTGTTTGATTAAAAAAATATTACATCAAGGGACGGCTTTTTCTGTCATACAGGCATGGATGTATATGTGGCCGTTATTTGACCGTTTTCTTTGATTTTATGAAGTAAATTCCAAATAAGACAAAGTCACTATTTACATATTTTATTTTTAATTATATATACTCTTTTTTTTATTGTTATGGTGCAGGAAACATCTATCACTTCAATTATAGACATTTTGTAAAATATACATTTTAATTCTTTTAAAAATAACAAATATTATAGTTAAAAAATTATTCTTAAAATTTAATGTTTTGATTGTATAAAATTATTTTTTTATATGTTTAATTAATCAAAATAAATAATCTTTGGATAAAAGCTTTTCATATATATATATATATATATATATATATATATATATATATATATATTAATTTTAATGATGATGTAAATATTTATTTCGATATGGTGTAACCTTTTGTTAATTATATATTTGATAAAATTTTAATATAATCTACGTGCATATCACTATTAATATTGATTAAATAACTCAATAATACTATTTTACTTACACAATAATTCATATATTTTATAAAAATAATGACAGAGTCTAATAAATAAAAAATTTCATAAATTTTATTTTATTTATAAATTTTTTTATTTAATTTATTAAATTGAATTATTCATTCTTCTAAAATTATTATATTAGTTATTTTAGAAATAAAATAATATTGTTTAATTAAATATTATATTAAAAAAGAATTGGAGAGAAGGAAAAAAAACAAAAATTAAAAAGAAAATATCTTTTAACTCTTTATAAGAATCAAAATGTAAACTACTTTTTCTTTAGTTTCTTTCCTCCCAGTATTGAAAATATTTAGAGGGAAGTATACCACATTGATATAAATCAATGAAATTCATATTTTTTTTATATAAAAACAAGATTTATGTAAAAACCACATTGATAATCCATCTCTTAATCTTTGACCTCACTTACCAAATCTAATCCTACAGTTTCACTTCCACTTTCCATTTCAAGCATCAAACTAAGTATTTACTTCTCAACTATTTCTAAATTTTTTTTCTTTAATGAAAGTTTAATAAAAAGAATTATTACAAATTTAAGTAATTAAATTTAAAAAATTAATCGTCCTTACTTCATATCTGTTTAGATAAACTTCTTCGTAAATATTTATAAAAGAAATAAAATAAATTTACTCATCACTAAAATTAATTTATATACAAATTCAAAACTTAAAAACTATTATCAGATAATTTTAGGAATTAATTTATATATAAGTTAATTTTAACTTATAACTTTTGTTTAATTATTTCTACGCAAACATTTAAACCAAGAAGTTATAATCTGAACGGTGTATTGATTGTGACGTTGAAGCTGGAAAATTGCCGAAGAGCAACGGCATTGCATGGAGAGGGAATTCAGGGTTAAATGATGGAAATGACACAGATGTGAAAGGAGGATTGGTTGGAGGTTACTATGATGCAGGGGACAACACAAAGTTTCACTTTCCCATGGCATTTGCCATGACAATGCTAAGCTGGAGTGTGTTAGAATACAAAGATAAGTACATGGCTCTCAATGAATATGCACACACCAGAGAACTCATCAAGTGGGGCACTGATTACTTGCTCTTGACCTTCAACAATTCTGCCACCAAAATTGACAAAATCTATGCCCAGGTACGTAATAATTTACTCGCACTTTTTCTCCCCTCTCGATGAAAATCAAGTATAAATAAAATTCAGTATTTCTTGCTTACATTCAGTATTTCCCTATCTGTTCTGCTTCCTTTACCAAAATATCTAATAATAGGAAGAGAAAAAATTACACAAATTTCGATGCGGAGAGAAATAAACTCTTTCATTTATTATTTTGATATTTAATTATTTATATCAAATAAATTTTAAATAATTATATTTTTTCTAAATAGTAAAATAAATACGACTTTATCACAGTATATTTTTTTTTTAATTTTAATAAGAAGTCATATTACATACTATAACTTTAATATAATAAAATATTTAAGTCATATTAAATAATGTGATTTTTATTTTTATATTTTAATTATTATTTAATATTTATAACGAATAATAAAAAAATGATAATTCTTTTTCTAATATTAATATCATTAATAATTAATATTAATTATTAATAATAACATTAGTAATAAGATAATAATAAAAATTTAACTATAGTTTTATATTTTGAGTATATTATATTATTTTTATTAATATTATTTATTATTATTATTATTATTTTGATATTAATACTAATAAAGTAATATTAATAATGATATTAATAAAAATTATAAATTAATTATTAGCTATATTAATAAGATAAACATTATTTTTATTATTATTTATTTTATTGTTTATTATAATCTAAATAAAATAAATAATAATTAAATATATTAAAATTTATTATCATTAAATAATAACAATAATAATTAAAATATAAAATATAGAAATAGTATTGTATAGTATTATAAAAGATAGAAATATAATATAGTATTTTTTTTTAATTACAAAAAAAACAATTATATGAAATACCACTTTTTCGTTTATTTAAAATCGTAATTTAAAAAAAAATATTCGTTTTGATAAATTTTTAAAAATTTCACTTGTTAAAACTGGAAAAAATATCCCTTCATTTTATTAAGAGATCAAACATTTTTTACATTATCACCATTTTTCTTGTTTGGGTCCGAAAAAATATATCGTTTGAAAAAATAAAAAATAATTTTGTAAATATACAAGCACTTGTTTTTAATTAATTTTTATTTATTATTTTAAAAATAAATTTTTAATATTGTTTTTTTTTCTGTAAATGAATAAATATATTTTTTAATTTATTTAATATTTTTTCACTTTTTTTTTAATTTTTATTTTCCTTCATTGCAGTCTGATTAGGATAGTGATCCCCTCTTTCTGTTAAGTATATCTTCTTTTGACGTATATAATCTCTTTTTTTTTTACAGGATTAGGAGTTATCCCACTTTCTACGTTAGCCGTATCTTTTTTTTTTTTTTTCATATATAATATCTTTTTATAAGAATAGTTTCATGACTCCATAAAAACTAAGACTAAGTGAACATCGATAGCTTAACTGTTTTCTCACTGGGTAGTAAATTTTCAGTAGTGAAGAAACATGCACTTCCTCACTTTTTTTACTTGTATTATTCAGCGATGGTTTGAAAATTTGAATTGATTTTTCCAACAGGTTGGAGGGGGTCTCAATGGTTCTAGCACACCAGATGACCACTACTGTTGGCAAAGGCCAGAAGACATGGAGTATCCACGCCGCACCATATCCATATTTCAAGGTCCTGATCTTGCAGGGGAAATGGCAGCAGCATTAGCATCAGCTTCCATAGTTTTCCAAGATGATGCAGCCTACTCCAAAAAACTCATCAAGGGTGCACAAACTGTGTTTAACTTTGCCAGAGATGGTGGTAAGAGGAAGGCATATAGTCGTGGGGAGCCCTACATTGAACCCTTCTATAACTCCACTGGCTACTATGATGAGTACATGTGGGGTGCTGCTTGGTTGTACTATGCAACAGGAAACAATACATACATTTCCTTGGCCACCAACCCCTCCATTTTCAGTAATTCAAAGGCATATTTCTTGACTCCTCAGTTCAGTGTTTTGAGCTGGAATAATAAGTTACCTGCTGCAATGTTGTTGCTGACAAGGTTCAGGATGCTTTTGAATCCCGGTTACCCCTATGAGGACATGCTTAAGATGTACCATAATATCACTAGTCTTACCATGTGCTCTTATCTTCAACATTACAAAGTCTTCAACAGGACTGGAGGTAATTAAGTCAGTTTTTTGCCTACTCAGTTGATCTCTTAAATGGATGAATATAACAAGATGAGGTAAAAATTTGCAGGGGGGTTGATCCAATTAAACAATGGACAACCTCAGTCTCTCCAATATGTAGCTAATGCTGCTTTCATGGCATCACTTTTTGCTGATTATATGCAAGTGGTTGGTGTCCCTGGATGGTCTTGCGGCTCTACTTTTTTCCCAATATCTGCTTTGAAGGCATTTGCAACCTCTCAGGTACCATCTCCATTTTCATTGTTAGTATTTTAGAAAGAATAAAAAATAGGTTTGATGTTTTGTATTAGGACAATGTTTGAATTTATGCAGAATGCTTTTCAAATTTTAAAATTGGAAATAAGGACTTTTTTTTATCTCTTATGTGAAATGTTCCATTTTCATAAAGTATAATTAGTTATGATATTAAATCTTTTGAGAAAATACACCATGGGAGGTCATTCTAATGGTTCAATTAAAAATAAATAAAAAAATCTTAGTTTATTCTTAACCAATATGTCATGAAGAGTAAAATGCAAGTAAAGTAAATTTGTGTTGACTTTATAAAATAAAGTTTCACTAAATGAACTCGAATGATTAAAAAAATATTTTTTTCTTAATATTGCATCATTTATGATATTTATAGTTATTTACGTAAATTAAATAATTTTAAGAGATCGTCAAAATTTGATATAAATGAATGTGAAATAATATTTTAACTTGAAGGATTTGGATAAAAATTTTTAAAATTTCATAATTCTTTCAAAATCAACAAAAATAAAATTATCTAATAAATAACAAAGTTTTCTCTACACTTGTCAAAATAATTTACATCTTGATATAAATCACATTGACATCAAGGCTTAGTATTACAATCTTGTAAGAAATTTAAAAAATAGTGAGGAGATGGAAGGGAAAGTGATGAAAATTTTAGGATTATACAGAATTTTAGAAATATAAATATCTCTGTAGAACTCTAATTGAGGTGATTCCAAAACGATGTGAAAATTCTTGTTATGAACTTTAAATTAGGCTAAAAAATCATTGATTTTTACAAGTTGAACGAGAATTATGACCACGAAATAAATCTAGGCAGAATTTGAATTTTTTGAATTCTAGTGAAAAAAGAACAAGAGGTGAATATGAAAAGGTAAAAGGAAATAATCACTCTTTATAAGGGAGACAAATCACAAAGGATGTGAAAGTCCTTTGATACATCTAATGGTTATTGAATCACTCAAGAACTAAGGAGAATAACTTTCAAGTAAGTTAAAAGAGTTAAACTCTTATATTTCTGAATAAAATTCAACTTGTTTTCTTGATAAAATGATTTAGCTTATATAAAAGTTTTGTCATCAGAATTACAAGGATTCAATAAAAGAAAATACATTCCACTTAAGCTAATAATAATTCATTAACCTAAGAAATGAAAACTACTTAATGATTGATTGTAACTGAAATTGTGGCAACCAAAAGTCACTAAAAAGTTATCAGTTATGCGCCCTCTTAGTCTCTGGAAGGTTGATGCCTAAGGTTTCAATTGGGCCCTTATTACAACTTGAAATAAAACCAAACTAAAACTCATTAGTTGATTAACCCAAAACATAATTTGGTTAGTCAATTTTACAAAAGATTGAGTCATTATTTAAATAAACTAGTCACTTAAAAACTGAAGCAAAGTGGTGTGTTAATCTTCTTCCATTTGGATCATGATGCAATTCATAACTTCTATCTTTTTCCTTGAAATTTGGGCTTGTATTCAAATAATATGGATAATACTTATTGAAGAGTTTCCTTTGCTTTCCTTACTCTAGCCCTTGTCATAGGTCTTCCAAATCCTTCAAGTGGATCCTTGTCCTTTCTCATGTCAATATCAACACTATAGATGTATAAGCTAAAGAGCAAAGAAAATGTTCATTTATATTGATTAACTTTGATTAACTCTACTAAGTTATTTCAGTTTTAACAAGTTGCTCTAGACCATTTAAGAAGTATGTGTGATGCATGTTTACACGTAGATGATCTTATGACTATGAGTCAATAGACATTGCATACCAAAGATGCATACATCATTATTAGATGGTTTATCTAAAGTGATGTAAGTATAAATCACAAAAAAATTTCATTAATCATTATCCAATAGGATTCATTCCAAGTAAATATGTTAGACATATAGGTCTACCTTCTATTAGGAGTTTTGTATAGATATTAATTAATTTATCATATGTGATTACAAATTATATAAATGATGCTTAATTTATCCTTATAGATGCTACCATCTCTCGCTAGTTCTAGATCCACCATAATTAGTCATTTATATGTATTTAACTTTTATTGTTGAGAGTGTTATGATTTTTTTTTGCTTCTTGTTCACTCATGATATGACATTTCTGAGGTTTCCTCTTATAAAGTGACAACCTTTATTTGTGTTTTTTCTTGTCACTTTGGCTCTAGTTTAGTCTATATCATAGAATCCAACTAACTTGATATTTTCTCTACCTTAAAACACAAATCAAGGTTCGTTATTTTAATTAGATAATGAAAATTTCATTTAACAAATGTTAAATGAATTTCTCTAGGATTATATTAAAGTAATCATAAATGCATATACAAAAGATGATGTTAAGTATACATGAATTGTGGTATGAGAATTAAAAGAATATTTTCCTCAATTGATCTCATTTACTCGACTTTGAATAAATACAATGTCCAAGTCGTAATCTTAGAAAACTAATTAGGTAACTAATAATATCATGCATATATTTAGGAAACTAGTTATAAACTAAATATATGCTTACCTAAAGTACAATAATAAAATATATTTACATATATCTTAACGCACTCCTGCAATCAAAGCAAGAGGACGACGAACACTAAGATTGTACCTAAAATCATCAAACAGAACATGCGAAAGTCTTTTAATAAAGATGTCCATGATCTGATATCGTGAAGGAACATGAAGAACTCTAGCCTGACCACGTGCAACCTTTTCCTGTACAAAATGTATGTTCATCTCAATATGTTTGGTACGTTGATGTTGCACCGAGTTGCCCGACAAATAATAGCACAAATATTGTTACAATACACTAGAGTAGCCTTAGTAACCGGACAATGCAATTCCAATAACAAATTTTGAAGCCAACACAACTCAGAAACCACATTAGCAACACCTCTATACTCGACCTTTGCACTAGACCAAGAGAGTGTAGATTGACACTTGGAGGACCATAACACCAAGTTGTCACCCAAAAACACACAGTAACCTGAGGTAGAACATCTCATATTAGGGCACCCACCCAAATCAGCATCAATATAAGAAACAAGAGATGTGGTCGAAGATGAATTGAGATGAAGACCAAGATCAAGTGTACCTTGTAAATACCAGATAATGTGTTTGAGAGCTTGCATATGGTACACCATCGGGTCGTGCATATATAAGCATACCTGTTGCACCGCATATGGCCTGGTGAAAGTGAGATATTGTAGAGCCCCAACAAGACTTCAATAAAGAGTGGGATCCTCATAAGGTGCGCTAGAAGTAATACCCACCTTAGCGTTAGTGTCAACCCGTGTTGTTGGAGATGACTTGCATGAAGACATACTAGCCCGATCAATAATTGCCTCGACATATTTACATTGTGAAAGGAACATACCACCCTTATGCCAGGTCACTGCAATGCCAAGAAAATAGTTCAAAGGACCAAAATCCTTCATAGAAAATTCAGAGCTTAGAAGGTTCATAATATATAATCGGAGAGCATGAGACGAAGCAGTAAGAATAATGTCATCAACATAGAGCAAAATATAAGTCATGTGCAAACCCTTTCGATAAATAAATAATGAGTGGTCACATTTGCTATTTGAGAAACCAAGAGACATGATATAATAAGCAAATCGCTTATACCAAGCATGGGGTGCTTGTTTAAGCCCATATAATGACTTATGCAAATGACACACATAATCCAGATGAGTATGGTCACGATACTCCAATGTTGATGCATATAAACTATTTCTTGTAGCTCACCATGAAGAAAATCATTTTTGACATCCAACTGATATATGGGTCATGCCTTTCAAAGAGAAATAGAAAGAACGGTGCGAATCGTAGTCGATTTCACTACCGGGTTAAAAGTTTCGCCACAAACAATGTCAATCTGCTGAGTTTTCCCATTACCTACAAGACAGGCTTTATGCCTCTCAAACATACTGTTACATTTCTCTTTATGAGTAAAAATCCACATAGACCGAAAAACATTAACATTAGGTGGACGGGTACCAACTCCCACATCTTATTTTTAATAAGAGCATCATATTCATCATCCATGGCCATTTTCCAATTGGGATCACGAAGAGCAGCAAATGGGTTACGAGGTAATGGAGACCGAGTAACGGAAGTGGCTAAGCCATATTCATCATCATCTTTCTTATTTGGCTTAAAAATGCCCATTTGGCTTCTTGTGACCATACGAGGTGGTGGGATGGGAATATGAGAGGAAGGTACAATTTGATATGCTGGTGTGGAGATAGGAGAAGAGGATGGGCTAAGGGAAGGAGAGACGTGTAAGAATTAATGGTTGAGTTCAAGAGGGGGGGTGAATTGAACTTTTGAAATCTTTTTTGAAAAACACTCTTTCTTTTGGAAGAATGGTTAATCTTTATCCAATCTTTTATTAGGCAGATTTGGTTTTAAACAAAGCGAGAATATAAGCAAGAATTGTAAAGAGATGAAAGCAGAAATTCAACACAAGAGTTTATACTGGTTCACTCTTTCCAAGAGCTACCTCCAGTTCTTGACAAATCTGCCAAGTTCCACTAATTCCAAGTGAAAATACAAACCAGTAGATATACATCAATCTACCCCAAGAACTATCTTACAACACCACAAGATAGACTCTTGAATTAACCACCCAATAACCAAACCCAGTTACTGTAACCAGTGCAGATTCAAACCCAATCTACACAATTAACCTTTGTACAAGTGTATGAAAAGAATAAACCTGGACTGCAGCTTTAACAATATAGAAGTCCAGAAGCAATTTTCCTAACTCAGAACTTTCTCTCTTGATGAACTTTTAACAATCTTGATCTAAACGCCTTATGATATGAAAAGTTTTATGAATGCACAGAGAAAGGCACGAATATGAGAGCTCTAAGATTGCTTTCAAATGTTTTCCAAATTGTATATTCAAAAGAGAAATCAAAACTGTATTTATAGAGTAAAAGAGAGAAACTGATAGATTCAATCGATTAAAATGACTTGGAGTAGCAGATGACCG